CTCTCTCAATGTCTAAGAGCGGCATTGGTGTATTTGAGCATATGTAGTGTTAGGTGCACTTGGCATCATGTAACCTGTTCAAACCTTCCCATTTCATTTACTTGCTATGGGCCACCGTAACACTCGGTGAAATCCGATGTCAGAAAAAACGAACGTGTCAGCATGAGTTTATATTTTATTTCATTGTGATTCCATAAACACGAGTATTAAAATAAAAAATACTTATAAATCCTAATTATTATTATATATTATATCTCCGGTCGAAATACATTCGTTTCTGTTCGAATATGTTTTTGCTCAACCCAACAAAGCAATACCTTTTTACGCCTATGCGCTGCAGCTGCCTATATATTATGCAGCTGCGGCCAACTTATACGCTCTTCCCAGTATTCGATGAACAAGCGGACGGTGTACTACGCTGTGTCAGTTCAGAAGACAGGTGACACTAAATTGTTGCACTTGTCGGTGGTGCATAAAAAGCTAACACTGCTAGCAAAAGCATAATACCGGTGTAATTTTTTTTAAAGAATGCTTACTACTATTAGACAATCCGTTCAATATTTCCTTGTTAAATATTTAGGACCCCGAATGAAAGAAGATCACGAAATTATCGAATCAAGGACTTTAAATCGGTCCTAACGATGCTCCGGTATTGGTAACGACACGGGTCGAATATAAGCAAAAATTGTACCCCTCTCTCCGCATGGGCTTGTTAATCATGAATCAGAAATTCAGCTGATCAATGGTGAGCCCTGGATCAAAATGACCCTTAGGAAACGTCTAGTCAACCACTGATATTTAGCTAGAAACGGAAACCGGTCAATAGTTTATTTATACCAGCAGTAAGATACAACAGAACACGTATAATATGACAAACTCTGCAATGCATCATACACCGTACCTGTACGAATTTGCTAGGCTCCGACGGCAGTGGTGTGGTCTCGCTGGATGGTGGCACCGGTGGTGGTGGGTGCTGCTGCGGACCCACGCCATATCCGGCTGACGGATCGATCTGCATTCTCTAAACCACTAATCAGTTCATACGAAAGGCCAATAAATCCATGTACTTAAAGGCAATTACCTGCATGTAGCTGTTTAGCTTATGCTGGCTCGCTTCGATATTGTCTTGATCCGACATCGCTGTTGCCACGTTACTAGTCTTCGTAAACGTGTCTCCCGCAAGGCTCTTGGAGCTGAACAGCTGTGGGCCAGAACCTGGGGCAGGGGTAGTCTAAAAAAATTTCATTTCGGCGTACTTAACGATTATTTTTCAAAAAAATATGAACGTACAAAGGCTGCCTGACCAATGCCGTTTTGAACGACGTCGGTCCTTGGAAAAACCGGCACATCCGGGGGACTTTGCGACATTGGCGGTGGCTGCCATGCCGCTGACGATTGATAATTCGGCTGCCAGGCAGGCGGCGCATTATATGCCATTGCTGATCTTGTCCGTTCGTTTAACCCCGGATCACAATTCTACAAACAAACGAACAATGATCGTTCGACTGCCAGGAAACGATACGAAATAAAATTGAACGCGAACTATCTTTTGTCTGATGACATCACTTTCTTAATCCACCTACCCAAGGAGTGGAAGATGGAGACCAGTCAAAACGACAAAGCGGTCATGAAGAATGGATCATGATTTCTGAATGGTTAAAACAGAACATTTCCGGGTTCAAAAATCGTGAGATTTATATCCTGATCAAAAGCTGTTGATCACTTGTAGCCATACGATGGAAAAGTGTTCTCTCAAAACAAGC